GGCGAACCTTGCAGTGGGGGGTAGTCGTCCGAATCTGTGTCGCTCTCACTGCTGTCCTCCACCAGGAAGCTGGGGTAGTTCCACGACATGCTGACGATGCCGTCCGACTCGTGCAGCAGAATGTGGGCCAGCATGCGCCCGTGGCAGTCCATCACGATCACCTGTCCGTCGGCGGTGCCAAACAAAACCTGCACGGGGACAGGAAAACGTTAGAATAGGAACCTAGGGGGTGAATCGCAGGAAGAAAGAAGTGTGGGGACCTGCTGGTCATCAGGTGTCCAAATACCGCAGGTGATCTGACTCTCCAGGTTGATCTCGGACGACCAGTGTCTCTGCCCGCTGACGGACCCCACCAGCACAAAGCCGTCGCGGTAGGAGATGAGCGCCTGGGTGCCGTCGTGCGACCACGTGAAGTCACTCACCTGCAGTTTACAAAGTCTTCGGTTTACGATACTCACGACATACGAGGTTTCAGCTCACTAGCGTACTTCACATGATTTCTACAACTCGAACCTGAGCTCCGCGGTCGTTGACCAGCTCCACGGACCAGCGGCCCTCGTACTGGATCCAAACAAAGATGCCGCCATCGGTATCGCAGGTGGCCAGTTTCTGGAAGGGCTCGTTCCATCGCACCAGGACCACCTTTAAGAGACGAGCGTATGTCATCGTGAATGAGGCGGGCTTTGAGGACGCAAAGCCGCAACACTTCCATGCTGATTCAGGAGGTTCCGTTGACTCTTTCAAACGGCTTGCGAACATCCCGCTGCGGCGAGCCGCCAGGGGTTACGTTAGCGTTGAGCTAAGTTTAGCAGTGAACCAAATGCAGCATATCATTAAGTGGGTTAACCTCTTTTTGAAAACTCCTCGGAGGAGCTGTAATTATCAGATGTATTACACACGATTGAGGCTGAACATTTTGTGACGGAAATAGAAGTCGTTTGATGTCAAGTACGTCAATCGAGAGTACAGGGATATAAAGCAAACACGAGGTAATAATTTTTCATCGGGGGAAAAAAGAAACGGCTCACTGGCTTTTAATGAAGGGAAATAACGTTGATCGTTGCCGTGGCAACAACAGGCCGCCTCCTTTGGGAGGTGGACCGGCCAGGACACCGGCCAATGTCACTGTTCAGAGTATAGAAATTCGAGCACGCTAAAATGAGTTAACAATGCAGCTTCCTAATATGAGCGGAAAAAAAATTATCATGTATTGGTCGATTTACTATGAATCTAAAGAAGCCCTGCAGAACGAAACTGTGCCAAATTGAGTTCCATCCATGCAGATATTTTCAAATTGAATGAAAACAACTGAAAGAATCCAATTGATCATTTTCTCCCTCCTCCAAAATAAGAGAAAGTACACGGCCACTAGCTGAAATGACGCATCGTGCACTGATTATAGGAATCATCATCACAGAGATGATCAACACAAGATGCTGATCGCGGGCACAGAGCAGCAAGGAGCATTTTGTGTCACCTGAAAAGAACCCATCGCTACTCCCAAGCTCTTCCCTCTATTTTTTTTTTTTT